ATTGTCTTTTAAGGACGATACCGCATGTACTATCTGGAGATGTTGCTGGAACAGCTGTTGTGAGGCACTTACATGCTCATATGCCAAGAATGCCCATGTATCCCCCTGGCACTATCGCAGAAAACCCTCGAACACATTCATAGCAATACAGGGCGTTGCCTTCCACTTGACCCTTCGTTCTCCTGCTTGTTCAATGCACAAGGGTTATTAAGAAGCTGAAAGATGATTATTACACTCCGTTGTGGATGCCAGCTACGTGCTGGCAGATTTTTGCAAACAGATTTCAGGAAATTATTGTAGGTTAACGATATAATAGGATGAGGGAGAGTTTTCGTCTTTGAATACACTAGGCTATATTTTGTAGAGGGAACCCTGGGATGGTAAAAGGAACAGTTCGTTGCAGAACTTGAGCACAGCCCATGTGGAAAGCTTCCATTCGCAGGCAACTTGACCTTGACCTTTTGTTTTTCTTGAGACACGGTCTCTCTAATACCTCTGAATATCCTAGAACACTGTCTATAGACTAGGTTGGCCTTGAACTAGGAGATGCGCCTGCCTCTCTCTCCCTGGTGCTGGGATTAAAGGTGTGTGCCACCACCGCCTGGCTAAAAAACATTTTTAAAGTTCCATTTACTTTGTGCAGCTCCGAGAATCATTTCTCTCCTTTCTTCATATGGGACCTGGGAATTGAACTTAGGTCCTTAGTTTTGGTGACAAACTCTTTTATTTTCTGGCTCATCTCAGGTTTTACTTTTGTTTTTGTTTTGTTCTGTCCTTTGACTCAAACACTTGTTGGAACAGAATCCTTGGGGGTAAAGGAGTACTTTTGATTACCTCCCCCAGCGGCAACCCTTTAGTCATTCAGTAGGAGGACATTCACAGCTCATGTGGAGAAAATGACTCTACTCGTTGTCATTGTCCTCCAACTCCATCTTGTCATGAGGGAACTTGCTAGAAATACTTAGACTCACCGACTAGACACCGAGGATCCGGAAGGCCCAGAAACAAGCTCTCCAGTGGCCCAGAGCCACCAAGGACATGTGGTTGACTAGCTGTGGTCTGAGGTCCCCTCAGAACATGTGTGGACGCTCATGATGCGGTCCTGTGTCTTCAGGTGCCTTCTGGTAGCCTCTCCTTCCCTCCGTCCTGCCTCCTCCTGGGCCGTCTTGGTTTTAGTCTCATCACCAGTCTTCTAGACTCTTCTCCTTCCTCACCTGCTAGTCCCATCCCCCAATGCTTCTGTCCGTTGGCGCTGATCTCCCACACAGCGACCACGGATGGAAGGGCCGTGGAGGGCCGGCCGTTCCTCTCACATCTCCAAAACCACACTCGGTTATAGACACAGCCCGATCCAAGGTGCTCCGCCCCTTTCATGCGCCCCCCTGCGCCTCCCTGCTGTGTAGCCGCCCTCTGCTTTGATGCTCTTCCCCAAGTCTGCTTCTCGGGGTGCTGTTTATACCGCGGCTGCAACAACGCCAACCTTGGGAAACTCGCATGCTCTGATGAAGACCTACAATTTCTCATTGTTTCCCAGACATGCTCGTGTGTGTGTGTGTGTGTGTGTGTGTGTGTGCGTGCGCGCGCGTGCAGGTGCTGTACACTTGGGTTTCCTGAGACATTGGCCTGGGGTTCACCAAGTAGGCTTTCTGGCCTAGGTGCTCCAGGGCTCTGCATGTCTCTGCCTCCCTCCCCTGTGCTGGGATTACAAGTGCGTGCCATTGTTTCTGGCCATTATTATTATTATTATTATTATTATCATCATCATCATCATCATTGTCATTATTATCATCATCATCTCAATGTCAGTTCCGGGGACAGAACTCATGTCTTATGCTTGCAGCTAACCTATCACCTCCCACCCTCCCAGGACCTTATTTTAAAAGGCATTTACTGTTCTTGCTAATGGACTGCCTTGCTTATTTATCCCTGCATGTCCAGCACAGTGCTTAGCACCTGTTATGTAGGTACTTAATAAACACTTGCCAAGGAGCATGGGGGTGCAAAAGGGTGTTCCTTGCAAGGAACAAAATCCTCAGCCGTTGGGGGCATAGAACCCTGCCTGCGAGAGAGTATTTGTGTCCTGGACCACGGCAGCTGTGGAGGAGGACTAGGTTTCGGAGGGAAACCACAGCAGGGTTTGGGCAGGTGAAATGTAATTATCCACCCTGGCCCTGAGCCAAGGAATTGCAGCACCACCTCCAGGCCAGGGCTCACCACGAATGGGGTATGATCTTCATCTCGTATCTCATCTCACAAGACTGACTTCTCCGGCAGCGCAGAGCCTCCTAACAGCTTGCTAGGGCACGGGGTCACTCACAGGAAAGAGGCAGCCAGGCCCCGTGACCCGGCTGAGCTGGCTAGTTGACCTCCATCCCCTTTGGTGTAAACATACAGCCGGGTGCTGGAGAGGCAGCCTGTGATCTTTGAGTCTCTTTTTGCAGCTGTAAGGCTGCATTCCTTCCGGCTGAAGTTAGCCTTTCAGAACAAGGACCCCAGCGTGTAAGAATCACTTGACATCATATTACTGGCAGTCAGTTTCTCCTCTCTCTCTCTCTCTCTCTCTCTCTCTCTTTCTCTCTCTCTCTCTCTCTCTCTCTCTCTCTCTCTCTCTCTCTCTCTCCCTCCCTCCCTCCCTCCCTCTCTCTCTCTCTGTGTGTGCATTTATGTTTATGTCTAAAACCCACAAATCTCTCTACCTAAATTACAAAGCAATTCATGTACACATGCAGAGAATCCAAAAGCCCCTTTTTTGCAGCTGATCGTAAATCCTTTTTGGAAGAAAATGTAGGTTATATAAAAAAATGGCTGAGCTGGGACTTAGGCTAAAGAAGTGTGCCTCTGGGGTGAGCTTGGAGACCCCTGACTTTACCGCTGCTTGGACTCCTGGAAGATCTACCTGGGAGGGTTTAGGGGGCAGCAGAGGCCAGCAAACATAGCAGCGACTCCTGGGGCCCCTGGCTTTTTAATATAACTAGAGCCATAGAGTCTCTGAGCTTCCACAAGCAAATGACCTTGGAGGTGACCACAGGAGACAGGCAGAAAGAATGCCGAGCGGAGAATGAGACATGTCCTTTCCTCAAAGCAGTCTCACATCTCTTCAGCTCTGTGCCTCGCCACCACTCTCCAGACAAGGCTTTATGCCCAGGGCACAGACATCCCCCCCAAGCAGTGATATTCCTGCATGCTCTAACTTTTCATTTTCTTGATTCTCCCTGCAAAGGTCTCCGAGCAATTTACAAACTGCAGGTTGTGTTTGCGATTCGGACCCTTAAAGTTTATCTTCCTTGCTGCTCTTCGCTTCCCTTTTGTCTTTTATGACTGTTATGGAAAAGAGAGAAGAGGGTTGGGAGGCCAGAGCTCATGAATGTATATGAAGCCGTTACATCTGCAGGGCTAGGCGCAGGCGCAGGCGGTCTTTAAAATGCTCATCCCATCCCCAGAAATGCTTTGCTGCTTTCCCTCCAATTGCACAAATTCATTATTTACTCCTTTACTGCAACTATTTATAAGTCTGCATGGACCCTCTGGGAAACACGGTTCAGGCTCAGAGCACCTATAATGAAGCCCAGTTCACTCCTCTTGGATGTACGTCACCGCTACTGCTGCCTGGAGGATAGACAGTTATGCACACCTCTTTTTTTTGGAAGGTCAGCTTGTCAGAGGACAAAGGATTTTAAATTGTGCTCTGTGGAATCCTGGAATCCTGAGTAGGCTGCCAAGAGGTCTAGGAAATAATAATAAAACTGGCCACAGATACACACTGTCATTTTTTCAAGACACTATGAGTTTTGGTTTGGTTGTTTAGCTTTCTCGGGGGGTTAAAATTCCATGTCTTCTGCAAGTAGATCATACTTCCTGAAGTTTCTCTTCAAAGTGGACCACGGACAGGTGTGGAGTGAGTAGGTTTGGAGGAGTGAGTGAATGACTGAACTTACCTGGAAGTTTAATTTCCCTCCAAGTCTTACACTGATCTTGACCAAAGAAGGATTTTTGTTTTTCCTTTCTGATGCTGGGGGTCAAACTCAGGATATCCAACATGCTTGGTCACACCATAGCCCCAAGGAAGATATTTCATCAATAGTGTGTGTGTGTGTGTGTGTGTGTGTGTGTGTGTGTGAGAGGGGGGAAGGGAGGGGAGGGAGATAGAGAGGGAGAGAGTGTGTGTGAGTGTGTGTGAGTGTGTGTGTGTGTGTGTGTTTGTATAGGACAGAAGCTAACAATGGATGCTTTCTCTAATAATTCTTCACCTTATTTTTGAGATAGTCTCTCTTTTACACACACATACACTCACTTGCACACACACACACACACACACACACACACACGGTTAGTAAGATTTCTCCCTCTATGTTATGTGTGCTGTGGTTTGTCTCAGTTTTTCTCTTCAGTGTCTCAGAACACACTACCCCCACTGCCCCCAAATTCCCCAGAGAAATCAAGGTCCTCAAAGGAGAGTTTGGAAGGAAGGGTTTCTGACCTCACCGTGCCTCTTCACGAGTGAGTTAAAACTACTCAGCTGGTACCGTACTTCACCTAGAGGCTCCCTGGAGGAGGCATCAGCCCTGGCCTCCTGCTGTCTGTAGCTACATTTGTAGCACACGGACACACGTAACTGGCTGCACCCCTATTTTTTTTAATTAGCAAGTGACAGAAGCTTAATTCTTAGGGACTCTGCCCTCTCTGTCTGCGGGGAGTTGGGTGCCTCCCAGGCAGTCTTTTCAGGCTCACTGGTGGTAGGTGCAGGAAGACAGGTAGGGAAAGGAGAAGCCCCTGGGGAAGGGGCAGGGATGGATTCACCAAGCCTGGGGGAGTTCCAGCTGGGAGAGACAGCTTTAAGCAGGGTTTACTGGACTTTAAGAATAGAGAGACAAGCAAAATTTAAGAATTACTGCTTGAATTATGTCTGTGGTCTTTCTTTTTTTTTTAAAGTATTTTTCCAAGAGCAAAGTAAGAAGTTCAAATCATTTTTGGCTTCTAGGCTAGTCTATTTGGTTGAGGCACCATGTGGAATTGAGCTATTTGGGAGCCAGAGACTTCATTCAACAAATAGTGAGCGCCGAATACCGGAGGTACAGTGATGAACGAAATAGACTCTGGTGCCTTCCTGGGGGCACATTAGAAGAGAGAGAAATGGAGTAAAATAGCAAATTGTGTCATATATTGTGACGTCATAGTACTATTCAAAACAGAAAGCAGGGAAGGTCTTAAGGTTGTCCCTGTCAGGGGCAATGTGGATTTCAGACACAGTGACCAGGAAAGGGCTTTGAGAGAAACGGACACACGGGAAGAGTTGCGGCTCCGAGGGGCTAAGCTACACAGAGGTCGGAGGCAGCCTTGGGATCCCACCTAGAGCAGGATGTGCTTGTGAAGTGCCCCTGTGTCTGGCGTGGCTGAGGGGAGAGGGCAGGCAGATACGCATGCTCCAGGGGGAGAAGGAGGGTCTGTTTGGGCTGTAACCCACTCGGAGGCCTTTGCTGTTCCTCTGCAGAGCTCTGGGTGGGAGAGGGAAGTGTGCCTTAAGCGTTCATGGAGGAATGGATGGAAGAGGAGGACGAGGTCAGGAGGGAGGTCACCATTGCACAAACCTCGGTGAAACAAGGTCGGGGGGGTCACCATTGCACCTTGGTGAAATGAAGAGGACGGCAATGGGCACCGTGAGGAGTGTCCGGATTGCCCGACACACACATTTGCTGATCAGTTGGTTAAATGGGCACCGTGAGGAGTGTCCGGATTGCCCGACACACCCATTTGCTGATCAGTTGGTTAATTTAGCGATCATTTAACAAACATTTACTGAGTTCTTGTGGAAACTACAATCCGAATCGAAAGGCAAAGATCAACGGCCGTAACGCCAGTTGCCCCAAAATTCTAAGTGGCCTAGGAGGGGAGATGCTAAGCACCTTCCTCTTGTAGAATCTGCTGAGAAATAAGTGTCTGGTAGCACTGTTCCGTGTGACCGCCAATCAGGGGGAAGGTCTGGGCTGAAGGATTCTCCTTTCCTCTCTAGAACCCTTCATCGCTGACATTTCGTCTTAAAGTCCTGCAGGCTGACTTCTGTCATGGACGGTGCAGACTTTGTCTTAGCTTCAGGCTAAGGTGCTGTGTCTTCTCCCAGGGGTTTTGACCCCTGTCACTGCTTTGCACTCCTTGCCAATGTGTCTGGCTCCTCCCTCCCCGATGTCCCCCACGAGACTCAGCCATGCTTTCCACCCGTCTCCACGTGAGCAGCTACACCAAAGTCTCGCTCCCCACGAAACCCTAGAACAGCCTTTGTTTCTAGCCCCTCAGGTCTGTGTCCCCGGCCTCTCCCCCCTTTTAAACCCCGCACCTCATCTCTTCTTGCAGTACTCTTCCTGTGATCAGCAGTCACAAGTGTCTGGGGGACTGATCGGAGAAGCAGGTGAGAAAATGCCTTGCGGAGTGAGGGGGTAATTCACACTTATTTTATTATTATTTTTTCCTGCTTTCTATAAGAAGCCTGGCAATGCCCTTTAGGCTTGATCCGGATTGAGTGGAGTAGACCTGTCAGCTCTCCTTCTTTTAACTGGATATTTTCACGTTTCATTAGGTTTTATTGTAAAAATATTTGTTTTGGTCCCCCCTCTTGTGTGTGTGTGTGTGTGCGCGCGTGTGCACAGGCACACATGCTTACATGCATAGACCGTATGCGTGTTGGTAACTGTGTAGAGCTGGCATCACCGGCGGTTGTGAGCACCCGATGTGAATTCTGGAAACTGAACCCAGGTCCTCGGGAAGAGCAGCTGTTGTTCTAACTGCCGAGCCATCTCTCCAGCCCCATGATTTTTCATCTTTTCAGGTGATGTGTTTTTACTGCCAGCAACTTGAGCTCACGTGTCTTTGTGTTTGTTATGGTTTCAACCGGGTTCCCGGGTTTGAAGACAGTCTCTAGCTAGTGCTGCCATTCCAGGGGACTATGGAGCCTTTAGGGGTGACAGATGTGTGGCACTGGAACCAGGCCTGGGAACGTCATAGCCTGGGCCTGGTTCCTGTCTACTCTCTGAGTCCCATCTGCCATAAAGACTCTACCCCGTGCTGTGGGCAGATCTGACCCCCCCACTGTGCTGAACTGATGTAATCCTGCCTTACTCTACGGCTTGTTCATAGGCTTATGACTGACCAACTTCCTTCTAGAGCCCAGACTCACCCTCCCAGGGATAGAACCACTCACAGTGGACTTGGCCTCTTACATCGGTCATCAGTCAGGACGGTGCCCCCACAGACCTGTCCACAGGCCAGTCTTCTTTGAGCTGAGGTCTCCTCTTTCTCAGTGAGCAGGTTGCCAATGAAAATAAGCCAGCATACCGCCTGAAGAAGCTTACTTGCACACGAGGCTCGGATAAGGCAATGCATATATATGTGCTTTGTATGTTGCAGGAGATGTTAAAAAAAAGCACCCCCTGCAAATCTTCCTTGTTCTGGGTTTGCATTTTCACCCTCAGCAGATAAACAGCTAAGTTTGGCAATTGCTCCCCCCGCCACGCAATAGGCATATACTGCCACCAGGTGGCAGGAGAAACCTGTGTTCCAACTAAGAAGGACAACGTGCCAAGAGAATTAGTGAAATAAAATAAATGCTGATTGTTTGGAGCTTCAGCTGGGCAGTGATTATTAAATAAGCAACAAAGCCTGTTTGTAAATCACAGCACCCCAGAATAATGCAAACATAAACTTCTAACGCAGTGCGCCTCAAACCGTGCGGTAGCCGGCGCGCTCCTCAGCAGCCCGGATCGTACTCAGAAGTCCACACAGATCAAAGTGTCAGTGCTCCTCCTGAAGCTGGGTGGTGACACTGGGACATCTCCCTCGTCCTGACCCTTTTGTCTGTAAGCCACCTCCGCTGAACTGCAGGTCTTCATGGGAAAGACTTTTAAGTCATGGTCCTAATAACTTTCTTCTGTACACCCTTTAAAAATATGCTTCTCCGGCTGCACCAAATACTTAAAACCTCTTTGAGATAACGACTTTAAAATAGTTTCTGTAAAAAATTATAAATGTGTATACAAACATAAATTATAGCCTACATCTGTATTACATAGTATGTAAAACACAGACTTTTTTCTATGCCCTACATAGAATATGGACAGTATAAAAATAACATTTAAAGTTCTGGAATGAAGACAAAGTGTTTTTTTAAAGGCACTTGAAGAAAGTGCCTAAAAAGAGAGTTCTTAATATTCTAAGCTCCCATGCACTTTTTATTGCACCGTTGAACTTCTCTTTCCTTTTTTTTTTATTAGGTGGAGCTGTGGGCCCGAGCCGTCATTCTCTTCATCCTTGCAAATAACAAGTTAACTCAGTTTAAAAATGCACATGGAAATGCGAGCTCCCTAAAAGAAACGAGGATGACTGTGGCTTACTAGAAGATCAAAAGTGTTGAGGGGTTTCTAGAAGACAGAGGGTGTATTATGTTCAGACTCAAGACTGGAGAGTCTCAGAGTCCAGGGACACTGGTGGTGGTACCCAGTAGAGGGTAGAGGTGGGAGCAGGCAGGCATGGGGCGTGTGGGAACTTCGCTGTCTCAGAGCCCAGGGTACCACAGAAATGTGCTGCCCGGAGATGCCTCGTACACGGCTTGGTCCACGGCTGCCTTGGTTTTGTTTCCAACGCCCCCTCAATCCCCACCCCCACCCCTCCTCATAGGCAGTCCCCTGAATAACAGGTGTCCTTTCTATCCAAAACTGAAGGGAGAAGAGCATTTCCTAAAGAAGTCGGGAAATCTGCACCTTAGGGGCCGCAGAGTCAGGATGGTCATCCAGAACAGCGGTCTTCCCACAGGTGGGTGGTCAGTGGCGTCAGCCGGCATCAAGGAGAGTGGCTTCTACCCGCTCCCCATCCTTGCATCCTTCAGAGATGCTGGATAATGAACAAGCACCCAGGTGGCCACAGGCAGAATCCCGCAGTCCCCTCACCCCAGGCTGGAGGCTTGTGAGTGAGGGGATAAGCTCACTACGGGTATATTTATATAACAGACCTTTCTTCAGAAATGTGATGGATGCCCAGTGGCCACCAGGGTCACCAAGACAATGGGCCACATGCGTAACAAGGGACCAACCAATTAGATCTAGGGAAGCAGTGGCGATTTAGGGAAAGGGGGGGTAAACTTGAAGAAAAAATGTTGTTGTGACTTCTCGGAGATGTTGTTTTTGTGAAATGTAGAGAGAATATCATCATTAGGAGATGCAGTCGGTAAGCAAGGAGACTTGCAGGTTGCTTCTTGAACGAAGGCTGTCTCTGCAGCTGTGGGTGCCTTCTGCCAGGAATGATGGAAATGTGGATTGATGGCTGGTGTGCCTACAAGTGATGGCTTGAGCGTGGATGTCAGGGAGCCTGGATTCAAGGGCAGCCTGCGCTGCAGCAGGGCCACTGACTTGATCCTTGGCCTTTATATTCTCTTCCTTCTGGCTCCAAAACACTGTGGGACTCAGGGGTGCATTCAGGGAGGGCGTAGCAGGAAGCCTTCGCCTGTTTGATTCCTTAGCCTCTAAGAGTTCTTTGAGGTGTTTCTGCAAGACTCAGGGGTACTTCATCTTAGCACTTTCAGCCTGGTACCTTTTCTTTTCTTCCTCCATTGGATCTGAAGACGGGAAGTGAAGGATTTGAGAAGACCCTTTCTTCCACTTCCCTCTCACCCAGTCTCTGACTATTCCCAGACTGGTTTTCTCTTGGCAGTGCTTCCGTACTGGACAAGTGAAGATCGCCCCTGACGTCGAGAGCCTAGGAAAATCAATGCAAGGTTTATGGAGGAATTCTGTAGCCCAGGAGGCATGATGGTGTACTGTAGCTAAGCATATTCACTTTCCTCTGAAATAGATCTTAAAAGAGAAGGAAACATTAAAAATATCAATTCCTAATAAGATACATGTGGATCCTGTCTTCCATTAAATGGTCCAGGCTGTTAAGGGGAGGGAAGAGGGTAGGAAAATAAAAAAGAGGCATAAAAGTGAAAACAAAATAGTAGCAGAAAAAAACCCCATATATGGGTGGTGGAGACCAGGATGTTGCTGGCATCGCTGGCCAGACAGACTAGCGAAAGGACTGCAGGTTCCAGGATCACCAGGAGACCCTGTCCCCGTAGGATGAGGTAGACAGTGCTAGAACAGGAAGGACATCTGGTATTGTCCTCTGGCCTCTGCATGCAGAGGAATGTGCATCTGCACATGCATGTGCACACACACACACCACACATACCACACACTTGCATGTGTACATTCATGCATACATATGAAATGCAACATGTGCACGCTACAGCTTAGCGAGGTAGTCAGAGATAAGAAATGTGAAACTTCCTGCAGTGAGCTCTGAGTTTCAACGTAACCTAGCAATAGATACAGTTGCCTTGAAGGCGGACTATGTAAAGAAATGATACTTATTTAAAAGGGAAAATACTGTCTGAATTCAAAACAAAAGGCAGCATTGAGAAAAGGCTGAAGGGCAGGGAAAAATACAACTTCTAATGTCTACATTTTTTAATAGACCACAGTAAAAATTATAGTCTTTATAATTGATTAATAAGTACAGATTTTGAAAGTTTTAGATGCAATTTGCTCCTAGAATTCCAAATATTTGCAGGAGGTTAAGGCACAGAGCAGCCCATTGGGGGAAATTAGAGTGGAAATGTAATATCAAAGAAACAAAACTCAGAAAGAATAAGATAATGTGATAGTGACCGAACATAAACTGTATGAAGAGATATGTGGACAGTCTTTATTTAAATTAAGTTAATATTCTCTTCAATTAGATCATAAAATAAAATTCGGTGGTATGCTAATATACTTAATATTTTATCAAAACTCACACGCACAAATAAAATGCCAAAATACATTAGGAAAATAGAAAACCAAGAGAAAAAGCCTAGCACTACACCAGTCATGAAATGAACCATTTAGCGTCATTTAGTTCATACTGGGCTGAAGATGCAGTTCAGTCTGTAGAGTGTTTATCTTGAGTACACGAAGCTTGGGGTGTGGTGGCACACACCTGTGATTCCAACCTTAGGAAGGAGGAGTTGGAGGACTGGGAGTTCAATGTCACCTGTGACTACAAGTCAGGCGGGAAGCCATTCTGTTCTGTGTGTGATCCTGTGTTCAAGAACACCATTTTACAGGGCTGGACGTTCTGATGTGCCCCAGTGATGCTCTGATTGGAGGGGATCAGAATGAGAGCGGGGCCTCTGGAAAGCCATCTCTGGTACCTACCCACAGCTTCCAGTTTTTCAGGTCTGAGGTGGGGTGTGGTGTGGGAATTTGCTGTGGAGCAGGTTACTAGGGGAGGCAGGGGCTGATGGGCCAAGGATTACGATGATAAGAGAGGCAGAAGGGAGGTTTATCAGTGGTGTGGGGTCTCATGTGCTGGAGAATAGTGTGGGAGAGGGCATAGCGAGCATGGGGGGCGCACAGGAATGAACCTCAATAGTTTTGATAGTGAACAGAACAATTCATTAAGCGATTAAAGTATATAAATATTTTTATCAGCATCATTATAGTAGCAGCGTAAAGACAGAACACAAGCACTTTCGAGGGTCCACAGGCGCATAACACTTAACATGGACTTTTACCTTTATAAGCATCTCTTTATAGAGATCAAGGTAGAAAAGATGCATGATTAAAGTATATATACATATAAAATTCATATATACACATATAAAGTTCATATATGTATATACATATATCTCCATGTATGTATGAAATACACATTGAAACTAGAAAAAGATCAAGAACCTAATTCTTGAAAAGTACAAACAAGGGTAGAGATGGTGTCTCAGCGGCAGAATGTTGTCCTAGAATGTGTGATGTCCTAGGTTCAATCCCAGCGTCAGAAAAAAAAAAAAGCACAGATTTGGTAATCCAAGGAAATGAAAATAAAAATGTAGAGAACGAGAACGTTGATCAGTATGGGATCTAGTTCTGATGAAGCAGACAGATTCTTGACTCGTAGGGTAGAAGAGGGGGAGACAGGAAAGGATGGTTCAGGACAGCAATAGTAAAGCAAACACCAGTTGGAAGTCAGCACACAGGCAATCGCAACAGCGACTTAGCTTCTCTAAGAAGCGACTGGTTTCTTGGAAGAAGAATAACAAGGATTAAATCTCACCCTTGCCCCAACTGTAGGCTCGAGGTAATTTTGAGTACTCTCCCCTGACTGACAAGGGTCGGAAGATTCCCTTATCCCTCTGCTGTTGTAGAACACAGAACCTGGCCTTAAAGACAGCCAAAATGTAACAACAGTGGTAATTACAGAGGTGGTCCACAGGCTAACCTGTGAATCTCGAATCTTTCTGTTGTGAAAAATGATTTACTTTGAAATCTTCACTCTCCATCTTTAAACAGGACAAAAGATGACCCAACAGAACCAAACACTTTATCCCACAGTAGGCAGGACTACTTTAAGGAATTCACTGTAACAAGTTGTCGTAGCCATTACAGTAAGGCATTTTCCAAACAACCCCATCTAATTGCCTCAATAAGTGCCGGCAAAGGGAGTTAGAAAGACGTGCAGAGTCATACAACAAACATAGTGTACTAGAAAGTCGGCCTAAACCGTACAAGGTGGTTATCAGATGGTCCTGGACTCCCATTAACCTCACAAAACAGTGGGGGCATTTACGGAAGACGGCGTCTGGTTGGGCCCCTTTGCCTAGAACATGGGATGTGGCTCTGGAGGAGAGTGCAGCACACCGTGTGACAAGTTCCTGGTTTCCTTCATGCCTTCGCAGCAGCTCGGTGGTGCCTTCAGCCCGGTAAAGAAGCAGGTCAGGTGACAAAGCAGGTAACGATAGTGTTTCTTCCGCTCACACGGCTCTAGCCCAGGACCTCTGTGAAACACCCCGTTTGGGATCCTTTCCTCAGAAGGACAACATGGGATAATGCTGTAGGGCTGTAAAGATTTGTCACGTGTATTTGTTTCATGAAATGCTGATTGACCAGTAGCCAGGCAGTTAAGTTATAGGTGGGGCTACCAGACCAGGAGAATTCTGGGAATTCTGCTTCAGAAGTTTTCAAAGGATTCTATCAATGAAGTAAAAATTGAATATAGAGTGGAAAGAAATGTGTGGAAGTCACATATCTAATAAAGTAATAGAAAGCAAAATTTAGAATCAATAGATGACCTAATTACATTATTTCTCTGAAGGAAACACACAAATGGCCAATCAGCACATGAGGAGATGCTCAGTGTCGTGAGTCATCAGGGAAGTCAAGGCTGCTGTGAAACAGCCTTCAAGATTTAGAAACACAAACATTGAGTCCCTTCATGATGCAGCGGTTCACTCTTAGGAAAATAAACAAAAAGATGGGAACATGCACTCCCCCACCCCAAAATGGGGGGAGGAAAGCAACCACAAGAAAGCTTCTATGTCAGTTATTCTCACGGCAACATTACTCTGAAGGTCCCGAAGCTAGAAACAAGTCAATTGCCTATCAACTAATTTAAAAAAGTAAATTGTTTATTTATAGAATAAACTATAACTTGGTCATAGAAGGAATGAAGTATTAATGCATGATATATATATACACACACACACATATCTCAGAATATTAGACTGTCTATTGAGCTAGGGGTGTAGCTTATTGGTAAAATGCTTGCTTAACTCATACAAGGCTGAGTTTAACCCCACACATCCTTATGTTGTGTGATGCCATGTATATGATTTGTCTAGAATTGGTAAAACCACAGAGATAGAAAACACATCCATTATTGTCTAGGACTACTGGTGGTGAGAGGGTTAGAAGCTGGGGTCTTTCTGGGCTGATGAAAATATTCTAAAACTGAATATGATAATGGTTGCACAGTCAGCATTGCACTGTGTATTTTCATGGGTGAAATATGTGGCATGTGAACCCTGAATAAAGTCATTAAAGAAAAAATAGGATACTTTGTAAATAATACTTCGACTCAATATCTTGAGGATATTTCCCATGTCTCTCATCTTTTCTTATATTGAAAAAAATATGTTTGCCTTTGCTCGTAGAAATTGTAGCTCTTCACTCACCTTCCATTTTGGCAAATTGATTTCCTGTAGTATCTACCTGCTTCCATTTCTTTTTATAATTTCAGTGTTTCAGGATTGAACCTAAAGCCTTGTTTCTGCAAGAGTGCTGATCTGTATCCTCAGGCCCACTGTTTGGTTTCTGATAGCCCTTTCTATTGCTGGAGTGTTACATCTTCATGAATATTTAATTTAGTTGAACAGATGCAATAGATCTCTGGATCTTTCTGACAATGAGTTTAATAATTGCTTCAAAATTTGTCCTGATTTTAGTGAAAAATGTATTTTGTGAAATTAATTAAAGAAGGACTTCTCGCCTTCTCTGCCTTGTAGTACTCTCTCTATCCTATGTGGTAATGTGGTTCTCTCTCTATCCTATGTGGTAATGTAGTTCTCTCTTATCCTATGTGGTAATTTACTCTCTCTATCCTATGTGGTAATATAGTTCTCTATCTATTCTATGTGGTAATGTAGTTCTCTCTCTATCCTATGTGGTAATGTAGTTCTCAATCTATCCTATGTGGTAATGTAGTTCTCTATCTATTCTATGTGGTAATGTAGTTCTCTCTCTATCCTATGTGGTAATGTAGTTCTCAATCTATCCTATGTGGTGATGTAGTACTCTCTCTATCCTATGTGGTACTCTATCCTATGTGGTAATGTGGTACTCTCTCTATCCTATGTGGTGATGTGGTACTCTCTCTATCCTATGTGGTGATGTAGTACTCTCTCTATCCTATGTGGTAATGTGGTACTCTCTCTATCCTATGTGGTAATGTGGTTATCAATCTATCCTATGTGGTAATGTGGTACTCTCTCTATCCTATGTGGTGATGTGGTTCTCTCTCTATTCTATGTGGTGATGTGGTACT